GGCAGTAGAGGTTGCTAGACGCTTTGAAGACAGCGCTGACTGTGCGAAGCTGTGTCAGACAAGACATGTGTGGATATTGTTAGATGAATGCGACGTGTGGGCAATGCACCCACAGTCCGAGAAAGCAACGCCCCCCCTTGCCGTGCCAGAGAGATATTTAGAGACATTTTTCCCTTGTCGACTGCGCCCTATGTAAACCAAACATATCACGAGGGTAAAAGTATTGTTCTAACTATCAGTAAGGTCGTAGAAGGTCCCAGCGACACAGTTCTCATATCAGATGGTGCACATAATGACTTACACAGTAAGAGTCAAGAGGCAGGATGACAACGAAAAAGTTCAAGGGCCATAGCAAGAGCATGACAGTTGAATAAACACGATGCTAGGTAGCTATGATAAAGGCCAAGGCAGACTGGCAGGAGGTGCAGCAAAGGTTGCTTCGCGCAGACTATGGTACCTTAGTCCTGTCACTCGGCACGCTGCCACTAACTGTAATTCTAGTAATATAAGAGTATCTTGTGGAATAATCGTCATCAATGGCTTAAGCCGCTTATCTATAATAAATCATCATATTTCCAAGAGAAGAAGAAGAAAGGAAAAAGGAGCAAACGACCAGGGAAAGTTGGAGACGAATGTCCAATGCATCAAAAACCGCCAAAAGCGGGCTGCGGCGGCGGTTCCATCTTCTTCAACGCTTCCCCTATCGCCTGAAATATGGCAATCTGCCGCTCCTGCTCTTCCTGAGGCAGGGCAGCAAAAGCAGTTGTTTCTTCGTCCCACTTTTTCACACAGTCCATGTTCCAATTGCACTTCTCAACCTCCCCAAAGATGGGGTGATAGAATCGGGGGTGACGTTTTGGCCACTCGGAGGCATGGTAATGATGCTTAACCAACGCGTTGCGCGAATTATGGGTTCCCGAGTCGGAATGACCTTGCCCAGCGGCGAACGCTTCAACCGTCAGGACGAGAAACCCTCCAACAACTTTGGACTCGGGGATATCATGGAACGTATCCCATGTCACGGTCTTGCCAGTGGTACGGCTCATTTCTGATAGGATGGCACTCGTAAAGGCAGAAGGCCCGGTGCCTGTGATCACATCATCGAAGTCCAGCTGAAGCTCTGAGATTGGCTTTCCTTGCTTGATGGAGAGCTCATCAAGCCAGTGGAGGATATTCTCGACTAGTCGCATCATCACGGGCTGGCGGGGCTTGCACATGAAGGTCCATTGGCAGAAGGATCGCGATTTCTGACCCAATATAGGATGGTCGCTGAACTCTGGCTCATCAATTTCGATGCCTATGACCATGCCGATATCTCTTTCGTCATGAGTGCTTGGGACAAATCGCTCTACAGGTCTCAATGCTTCCACGTCGATATCAGCATAGACACCTCCTTCTATGTACATCACAAGGTACCGAAGCAGGTCAGCCTTGATAATCGGCGCAGTCAAAGATCGATACGTTTCAACGATATCTGGTCGATTCTCCCCAAGAGGTCCGAAATTCGTTTCGACATATTCGAGGTCATTCTGGTCGGTCAGAACTTCGTACCGATAGCCCGGGTTTTTCGCAGTCCAGCTGCGCGCAACCTCGATATCACGTTCGTCAAATTCTAATGGGTTCACTTTCCAAATCTGCCAGATTTTTCGGGGAAATGTTCCACCAACATTAGCGGTCACCTGGGTAGAGTAAGATCGAGTCTCGCCAATGTTGTGTGATGTCCTGGTGACACAGAAGTAGATGAACAGGAATAATGTCGCCAGGCTGCCATGCGTGAATCGACGTGCCCTCTTTGGAAAGAGACTGATCGGTGCGAATTTCTTCTCCACCATGTCTGTGCCTGAGATGTGATTTTATTCACTGGCCTCTCATCCGGGGAAAGCATAGAAGTCAAAAAAAGGTAAAGGATTGAGAGTCCAGGAAAACTTAGCCTTATTTCACCGCTGTGGTAGATTACATACAGTACATAGCTTTGTATTTAACATGTGGTCTTCACTAAATCTAAAATACATTGCCTCGGATTGCGTTAGTCGCTGACACCTTTGAAAGCTTATGTCTCATTTGCTGGGTTGTCTTGTTGATAACCCCGCGAGCACAGTGGTAGCCACTGGTACAGGAACTGGATCGTTTAGTGGCATCTAGACTAATCAGCCGCGCTAATAGTAGGGATGTGGTGTGGGGCAGTCAATCATGGCATTTTACTCCGTAGTGGAAAACACCATGGAGGCTTCCGTGAATCTTAACCATGTAATACAAACCGCTAGCTTAACTAGGAACTTCCCTGCTAAGTATCGGCTGAAGGTTTAAATCCTAAGATACCCTCTCCAATTTAACAACATCATCATGGCGCGCCTCACTAAAAGTAATCACTGTGAATGTGATTATATACATATATAGGCTCTATAGCATTGGATAGAATCATGATAAGCTATATAGAATCCGTCATAATATCCCTCATGGGACTATTATGACTGCTAGTTTTTGAGAATCTATCGGGATACCTAAACAGGCTAGCGGTAAATACAAATAGGATTCAAACATTTGAGGTACCACTGTACCTATGGAACCCACTCAAATACGACCCCAAACCTTGGTCGAAGTGCGGGGGCGAGATTGTACGGTTTTGTACCTGCCCAGCTTCAGCCACTCGATTATGTTCCCCGGGGTACCCCGGCGTGTGGAGGTAGGAAAGATGGTCCTCAAAAACCTGGCATAATCTCTACGAAAACGCAATCTTGCGGCAGCCTCGGCACCAGTGGGTAGTGACACTGGCACGGCCTTGCCTGTCCAGCGACCCACTTAAGGAGCACTAGTCACTGTATGAGTTCACGCAATTCACGTGTTATCGAGTTACCAGGAGCTGTGTATTAGTTCTCAAGCATTGAGACTTGGGATTTTATTGATCGTCTTCTTCGACCTTTCAAAAGACCCTGGCAACTTCAACTCTTGGCCCCGCGATGCCCATCCTACCCGCCTCAATTGAGAGCTTCTCGTCTCAGGTGAACTTGAGTCCCGAACGAGTCATCGAGGGTGGACAGTGGACACCACAGTTAGCCCAGAGAACACACCCTCGACATGGAAAGTCGTCTTTTTCATGGATGGCTCCTTTCCTGCCCACTTTGTTCACTGGGCCGACAAATAGCGATACAAACACGAATGAAAAACAACGACAGCGTACCAGGCCGACCGCATACCTAGATGGATTGCGAGGGTTTGCGGCTCTCATGGTCTACTGGCAACATCATCAACTTTGGGCCCACGATGGCGTAGGAGTTGGAAAGGCCTTTGAGCTAGCATATGGTTACGACAACAAGTACTATTTCGCGTGCCTTCCTGGTGTTCGAACAATGTTCGCCGGGGGTCATTTTGCCGTCAGCGTCTTCTTCGTGCTCTCTGGATACGTTCTCTCCATGAAGCCACTGGGATGCATCCAGGATGGCGACTACGCTGAACTAGGTAAAAATCTTTCCTCTGCGATATTCCGCCGATGGTTTCGTCTCTATATACCTCTCATTTGCACAACCTTTTGCTACATGACTTATTTGCATTTGTTTAAAATTCGCACTGTCCCAGAGCTTCAAGGAAGCTACCTTTCGGAACTATGGAATTGGTACGCCGAATTCAAGAATTTCAGCTTCGTTCTGCGAACAGGCGGTGAGCCATGGTTCACGTACAATTCCCATACTTGGTCTATACCCGTCGAATATCGAGGCTCTCTGGTTGTTTACACCGCCGCGATCGCTTTTGCAAGGTTTCGCCGCAATGCCCGGCTGATCGGCGAAGTCGCATTGGTGGTATACTTTTTGTACATTGCGGATGGGGCGCACTTTGCCATGTTTATTGCTGGCATGCTTTTGAGAGATCTCGATCTCCTCGCCATGCGCAATGACTTGCCCGGCTTTTTTCGCAGACTGGAGCCCTTCAAGTCAGCCATTATGACTTTACTCTTCTATGCCAGCCTCTACCTCGGCGGGGTCCCATCGCATACGGATAACTTGCAACAACTACGTGACTCACCGGGGTGGTACCTCTTATCATTCCTCAAGCCACAGGCAGTGTTCGACTACAAGTGGTTCTACCTGTTCTGGGCCGCTGTCTTCCTTGTCTCGTGCACATCTCACCTTCAGTGGCTCAAAGCATTTTTTGCAGCCCCGTTCAACCAGTACTTGGGCCGCATTTCATTTGCCTTCTATTTAGTCCACGGACCGGTTCTGTGGATTTTGGGAGACAGGCTCTACGCTGCGGTGGGATTCGAGCGCGATTCACATGCCCAAAATTGTCCCTGGTGGATTAATCGTTTGCCCCTGCCTACATTTGGTCCTTTTGGGCTTGAGGTCAACTTTCTCGTCCCACAGCTGGTTTTGTTGCCCTTGACCCTCTGGCTTGCAGAGGTCACGACTAGACTAGTTGACGAGCCTGCTGTAAGGCTCTCTCAACGGATGTATCAAGAGGCGCTGGCCGACAAAACTTGACAATCTCCGCTTGTGTTCATGATTCTACTTATTTGCTTTTGAGCCTCTCATGCAGAGCCTACCCTGCATTATAAATTGTTGTATGATATAAGTCTAGCAATGCTTGGACTCCCTAAGTCCGGATACACCTCAATCATGCACACTTGCTACGAAAGTACGTAGTACGCCATGTGTCTGAGTCCATAGTCGCAAAGTTTGTCGGATCATTGATTTCGGCATGTGTTTTTCGTAGCTTTACCTCAATCCTCACGGTCGATGTATTGTCACTCTTAGAAGTCGTGTCTGGCGAGGAATTAGCTTGATGCTCTGAGAATACGCCGATTACCATACACAGAAATTAAGAGTTGCGGATGTGGCCACTCGCCATCGATGCACCCCTCAATTCAGCCACTACCCGCGTCCGTCGGGGCCACCCTTTTCTAGTCAATGTATCAGTGACCAACCTTCGGCAACCCGTTTTCTGAAATATGGCTCATTAGCTCTTACTGTTACATCCCGATGCTCTACTCTACACACACCAGACTAAACATGGCCAAAATACCAGCCACACGCCTGATGCTTATTGCAGGGCTATTGTCAGCAGTGATCCTCGTCGCTAAACTTCAATCCAAGCATCTCGACTTGCAAACGAGTTTTCTGTCCCCGTATCACTCCACGGTTGTATCACACATTAATGCCGGGGAACCCGAGACAGCTTGCTCAGGCGTCCCCGGCAGCGAAGCCTGGTCTCACTGCCAGGATGGACAATCCGCAGACGAGGACGGAAGACGTCCTACAATCGAAAAAGAAATGTCTCGGACGCATCATATATTATACTCAGTATCGAGTGCCGATCGAAAGTACTTTAAGATCGATTTTGGGAGAAGAACCGTGATAAATCCCAGTATCATACCCCATCCTGAATTGCTTGACACCTGGATCGTCACTGCCCAACTTCATCACCCTCCTTCGGCTCGAATGGCTTCAATCTGGTTTGCTGAAATCGTCTGCAATGCGGCGTTCTCAGAAGATAAGCGAGTTCTGAGCTGTCTGGAACCACCGCTGCAATTGCCCATACCAGCGACGTTTGGTGACTCCAGCAAGTGCGTCGGCGACATTTCATACTTCAGTCTCAGCATTGGGCCTCATGATGCGAGGGTATTCTACGGGCCCGAGATTCCGTACACCATTTATGGCTCGAATTCTTTCTTTACGTGTTTTGGACAATGGATCTCCGACTTTCGAATCTTGGTGGACTGGGGCATGGACACGATACATGAACACGAGTTCCGCCAGTATCGTGAGCTCCAACGTCCAATGCCATGGAATGCTGTCGAGAAGAATTGGTTCCTTTTCTGGGACGACTTCGGACAAATGTTCATACACCACGATATTACCCCGGTGCGAGTATTTGCGAAACTCGAGCTCGATGGCTCCGTTGGGCCAAACTTGGCTCTGGCGACGGCGACTTCTGACCAAGCGTGTCTCAAGAGATTCCTGCCTCAGAGTACGAACCCAACGCAGAAAATCCATCAAGCGACAAACTCGCTAGCTATCACTCTATGTGCACGATCGGACCAATCGTGCCAGCCTGATACGACCAATACCTTTGTGCTTTTCATCATCCAACAAAAGACCATGCAAGGTTTTCACCCCGTATATGAGCCATATGTTGTGCTTACTCGGCGTTCTACGCCATATGAGATTTATGCGGTCTCGTCGAAACCAATTTGGATCTTTGGTCGCAATACTGCTGCGAAAAAGTCAGATGTATCTTCTTTAACATTGTTCTCGGAAGACTCCGAGATGCTCTACATGACTAGCATCAGCTGGAAAAGCCACGGCCAGAAGTATCATGGGTACATTGATGACACACTGTTCCTGGCATTTGGCTGGGAGGACTCAGCCGCTGGCGGTATCGACGTTACCGCGAGAGACCTCCTAGCAGAGCTGGGTATGTGTGCAGAATCTTGATTTAATTCTTTACTAGGAGTCTTGCGTGGCTCGTTTTCCAATTCCCTTAAGGGTGAATGCGATCTTGTTACAATGTATAATACAACGGTGGATCCACTATCAATACACAGGAATTACAGAACGAACAAAAGGAGGAATGATAGCCACGATCCCTTTGAGAGTCAGTGGCGGCCCGAAATCCTCGTAGTCTCCATTTCTCATACTGTCTTCCTATCTTCCTATCTTGTTTGTTGGGGTAGAAACTTGGTCAGTGGGCTGGGTGGCTTGCGCAGCGCGGGGGTAGCGTGCTCTCCCACAGGGATCAGTTCTTTTCTTTAGCATGAAAATGGTTGGCCTGCTATCAAGCGTTATGCGTGCTTTCACATGCTTTTGCCACCATTTTGTTCAAAGACATTGATCGACCGAGGTGAGTCCCGTACCTGGGGAGTGCCCCAGTACCTTTTGAGCATGTGCCCGAAACTCAAGATAGTTAGTGCCTGCGTGGTGGGGCAGTCCTCAAGCTAAGGATCTTAATCCCCGCGTTGGGCGTATGCATCAATTGGTCAATGGAGACTTTCAATCTCGATTCGGTTAGATATCCGGTCGGTGGCTGATCTAGTCCCACCTTGGCCACCTTGGTTTTCACGAGGTAATTATGACAGGAATCGTTCAACGCAGGGAATATCATGCATCAATACGAAGTAGGCGATAAGGATCGTGTGCGGGTTGGTATCTGCTATCGTCGGAATCAGGCATTGGGCGAACTTTCGCGGAAATTAGTCCCCACCGGGGAAATGAGATTCCAGCCAGGGGCACAGTGACGAGGTCCGAGGAGATTGACTGGCAGACACTGAGGATTTAGACAAGGCTTCTTGGTCCAGTCATTCTCCCCTTAGTTTGGGCACTGTTCTTCTTGCTGTCTTGGGTTTCGTACCTTACAGAGTCGGAATGAAAGTTAAATCCCGCACACACACAACTAATTATAATAAGCTCCGAACCAAGGACGTATTTAAGGTTCTCTTTCTATTTTCGGTTAGTTGGCCAAGTTGGCCGGTGCTGATAATATTACTCTGTACAACTAGGGTGTTTAGATTACGGTGCCTCTCGCTGGGAATCCCTGTTTTCCGCATTCCCAGTTTTTAGAGGTGTGCATATTAATATAGGCAGTTGTTGGAGAGTGCCTTGCTTCGAACCGCCATGACGCAATTCCAATGAGACTTCGTGTATTCACATGTGAACAAGTCAGACCAAATATTTGACCATGAGAATGCCTTTCTTTTGTGTCTGGGCGTTCCTCTTTTGAGGACTCCGCTCGTCGTTATTATTTCCATGGATCATGACAATCGAATTTGAGAAGGCTCTAGGGTCAAGGTTGAGACAGACAATTAGCGAAGAAATGCACACTGCAGTCAGGTTTTCCACAGTGTCGTAATTGTATAATGTATTATAGAATAGTAGATATTATAAATGATTGTAGCTTGAGGTAGCTTGGCAGCAGGAAGCTACCAGCGTCAAAGTCAGTATATCAGCCAACAGTGGAAAGAACCTCCGAGTCGTTCTCCACGCCATTCTTTAGACCAAAAACATGATGCTGGCTAGCAGGATGGCAGTACCAGCCACCTGAGCAACTCCGGATCCAATGCCCGAGGCCCCGTTGGATAGGGAGGTGTTCGAAGGCGAAGCAGTGTTGGCCGTGGACGAAGTCCTGGAACCCGTAGTCGAAGTCAGGGAGGCCGCAGACGAAGTCCGAGAGCTTCCGCCCAAACCACTGACCGTGGTAGAATTGGAGCTGCTCGATGTGGTCCGAACACTTCCTGCAGCAGTCGATGTGGGAGTCGACGAGTCCACCGGCGGGACAGAGACCGGGTGGCCAACACCAGAGCACAAAGATACGACGACCTTGGAAACGGCTAAAGGGCATGGGTTAGAGAGGATCATACGGAGGAGTATGTGGCTTCTCATACCTTGTTGGTCCGCGACATCACAAGCTTGTTTGACGCAGGGCACAACCTGTTCCACAAGGCCCGTCTTTTGGCAATGGCATGCGAAATCCGTCAGCTCAGAGCAGCCGTCCGCACCAAGCGCCGAAGTGAGACAGTTAAGCTTCGAGAGAAAGAGAGCAGGGGTTAGTTTTGAAACGAGATATGGAGCCGGAGCATTGAGCGGACAAGTCTTACAGAGCATTGTGGGATACTGGATAGTTGGGCGCTGGTGATGGCACCGGCGCCGAGCACAACAGCAGCAGCAGCGAGACGCATTTTGGCTATGATGTGGAAACGAAGGGATGGATAGCCTGGAGGTTGTCTGGCGTGAAGGGGCTCTCAACGCGACAAAGCACAATAAAACTCGAATGTATGCACCCGACTATTCTTAAATGATCTGGCACTCCAGGCCTCATATCTAGCTAGCGGAGTATACCGGCTACGAGCACATCATTCACGTCATGTTATTGGTCGCGTCGAATTATCTTTTCCATTGACTCAGCCGGCTCGGGTCTTTTCAGTCTTGGTCTGCTGGTTTTTTATACAGAGTAATCCTGTTACTATGATACAGTTGATCCTGTAATGGAATGAACAAATCAAATCAAAGGTTGAGTAAGACAGAGTCCCAGAACCCAGCCAAAAGTGGTTTAGGGTGGTCCTTTGGCTCTGTTGCTGGAGTGTTCGTACCCCCGCAGCACTGTTGGACAGATTTGTGGAGAAAACAGTGGCATGGGGGGCTGGCCGCAACTAACTAGTTTAACAGTTCATAATCAGGAACCCTATAACACCCTGTTTCCATGCCCAGTCAACTAATTATCATTGGGCAGTACCTGTTACCCTCATTAGAGTCCACCAGCATGTGAACCCTGTCCTGCCTGTCCCTCTTAATTCGTGCATTCCTTTAATTCATCGGTCTTACATACATGAGGGAATATTGCCCTTTTTGTTGATTAATAAATGATTGAAGGCGCCCAAATGCCTGGTATCACCCCAAATCCATGCTGGGCTGTGAGCCTGTGACAGTCTTAGATATTCAATATAGCCGCCTTTTATGTCAGTACTACGCCTATGGTTCACAAACTTCTACTGAAAATGTTATGCCTCAATCTCCCCGTGCTCATCCTATGGATACTTTAACTAAGAAGGAATGGGGTATTTCGGACGCCAGTAACTCGGCCGGAACGCCGGACAGGCCTCGGCGACCCTCCGCTGCTGGTACTTTCTGTCTCTTCCTGTCTATTAGAGCTTCGCCAAGAAGAACAAGATCATTGAGGATCATTGAAAAAACAATAGATTTGTGTACATTGCTCATGAACCATGCTCTTGGAGACGACTGGTACAAGAGAGACCAGATCTGTACTTTGATGAGGTGGTAGACTTTCTATGGGAAGAGTTCCATATCGTTGTGTCAACGTTCACGTTCCGCCGGGCATGTCAATCCTCCCGATGGTCTAAGGTGACTTAGAGATTTCACTCAGAAAAGAATATGTGCTTTTCTCCTTGGAACAGAGCATTTTATGCTGGTGTTCAAGACAAGTATGGGCGGACCCCACAGTCCTGGGCCGCAGAGAATGGAAATGAGGCAACAGTCAAGCTACTACTAGCAACTGGCCAAGTTCTTAACAGGCAACGTCTCCACCTTCAAAGGCTGCCAGAACCGAGCCGATTCAAAGCTAAAGCTGACCTGCTGAAACGGGCTCTTCGCCCAGTTATTCACATACAGCGTGTCCGCATCAAATGCTGGCGCCATGTCTAGGAGCCCATTAAACGCCTGTGCCTCTTGCAGCCACCGGTATCTAACGTGGAACTCGTCGCCAGACAGCTGTTCGAGACTCTGCCGGATCTTCAGCGCGATCATAGGAGCTGTCCAGGATGTGTTAGCGCTGGGGTCTCCTCCACCGCGAAACAGTTCCTGAGATATCTGTCCGACTGGTCTCCTAATGTGCGAAGCATTCCCCATGGTAATGTTCCGGGCGAGGGCCTTCTTGCCTAGCGATGTAGGCTAATAGCAAAAATGCCACTCGCCCTAAACCTGGTTGATGCTTCATCTTATGCGTAATATAAGACTGCCTGCAAAAAGTGTATTATGATCACCTCGTAGCCAAGAACTGCCTCTTTCAACTGCCTAGTATGGACGTGCATCTTGTAAGGGTCATCAGTAAGTGTAGTGGGGACTCTTGGAGTGAACTCTTAACTCACTTGGGAGGGAATCCTTCCCATGAAAAATTAGGGATTGCAAAGGCAGAAGTGAAGCTCCATTCTATTATGTACTCTAATGCCCGTTCTGGGTAGCTAGGCTTGACCTTTCACATGGTTCGCTCTAAGTCTGGCCAGTCTCTTCTGTCTTAATGACCTTGGGACTAGTTTGTTTGGCCTCATGGTGAGGATCCTAGGTTATAAATATGATATTGCCTACTCTCTGTAATAAGTCAACTTGGACACACTCTTCTAGTACCTTTTGTTTTTGGGTGTGGTCGTCTTGTTGCTTCATATGGATAGAAATAAGAAAGAAGAACACCCTGGAGGTGATCTGCCTGCCATATCCCAGTAGCATACAGAGGACATGGTTCTGTCTTGGTAAGCTAAGGTCAGTTGCGATTAAGAAAATACCAAGCCCCTATCTTCTCCTGTCTAAGTACTTTATGTTAATTGTTCTGAGATCTTGTTACTCTAGGTGAGGAAGAAAGCAGCTAACAAGGTGTTATAATTGTGTCCCACTGTTGCCGCCCTCACTTGAGGCAAATCGAATAATATCCCCCAGGTCCCACAGGTGCTTCTATGTGCATGGCTTCTTCGGCATGAAGTAGACAAAAGTTCATGTGTATTTAGTGGCAACGTCTGAGGCACCCTGACAGAACCCAGATTCACATGATCAGTGGTGGATATATAAAGAATAATAGCACCCTGTTCAATGGTGATTTGGATCCGGAGAGCTTTAAAAACATCTTTGGCAGAAACTACTCGAGAAATCTGCAATGTACCTAGACGATATTGCTATGTGTCTATGGGATGAATCCAAGATGCTAGCAACTCCCTCCAGCATTAGGAGAGCCCTTGTGTCAGAAGGCTGGTTCAGAAAGACATCAACAAAAGAGAAGGCTGGTCCAAAAAGACAGCTCAATAAAAAGCCAAAGAGCAGAACATAAAATTTCAAGAGTGTTATCTTCACAACCTCACTAACTCCAAGTCTACGACCTTGTTTAGGTTGATGAATCTGGATGTGATGAGCAGATTAGGCTTTGATAGACAGGCTGGTCACCACTTGGTGTAGCACTAAGAGAAGTATCACAGTTCCACTGCGATGAACTGTATCATATACTGCCTGCATATGCTCAGGATGGTATTGTGCTTTCTCACATCTTTATTGGCTTAACAGATGCGTCTGTGTGTGAGGACTTTGTTGATCAACTTCAAATATTGCGGAAGATGGCTGCAGCTGAAACCAGTCTGCTTCAATCCTAAACTCCATCAAAATGCGCTTCCAAATCTCCCTTCTCACACTACTCTATGTGTTTGCAAGTCTCAGCCATGCGCTTGTCGGTCCAACCTGTATGAAAATTCCAGACGCGATTAGTGACAAGCCTGACAAGATCTGCGAGCTATTGCAGGGAGAGAAAATCTTATCATTTTGACAAGTGGCCACCAGCTACCAAGAACTACCTGCGATGCCTGGGGCGCAGATAGGCTGTTGGGCAGTGCTTCAGCACATGTTTGATGCTGCTAAGGAAAATGTTGAGACAGTGGGTGATGGTGGTGATCAAATACTATTGGAAAAGGAACGGCCAGACCTTCCAACTTGCAGAAATGGTCATGAGTTTGAATTTATTGCCAGGGTTTGTGGCTACAGTGGGGGATGATTTCATTTTATTACCATGCTTTCAATTTCACAGGTCCTCAAATTCTGGTTGTCATCATGACATCTTTTGCACTTATTACTGTTAAATTAGTGATTAGTTACTGCCTTATCACTAAACGCTCATCCACTGCTTGCCTTTTGCTAATGGTCATTACTGCCTCGCTGCAGCTAGTGCTCACTTCGCTTCTACAATCTACAACAATGTCAACGCCTCCCCCTGATCACTCCCCATTGCTGGGGCAAGCGCCAGCAGAGTCAAGTTTCAGACGTCGAAGATTCATCTTCCAAGTCAAAAATGACATTCTCGCTACAATGGAACCAGTATTTCTGAAATATGAGAACATAGAACCCAGCATTGGGAGTCGTGCTGCACTCAGTCTCGACTTGGATGGGGAGATCGAGGCAAGATCAGTCCTCATCAGTTACAATTCAGTCACCCGGATCTTCACAGTCGACATGCCCGCAGCTATTCCTAGTTGCCATCAGCCCTGGATTATTGATGAGTTCATCCAGGCAGGGGTGTCGGGGTTCTTGACTCGCGCTGAAAATAATCATATCAGCATGTCTTCAAACACTCGTATGTTACCTCCTTTTGACTTCTTGCACATCTAACCGAGTCCTGTACGGAGTAGGCTTCAATACATTTGCAGCCCCGTATCAGATGTCATTTGCAGAGCCAAATCTCTACTTGGAGCCGAGGGGCTTTTCCCTGCCCACGATCGTGTTTGTATTGGGGCTTTCTCACTTATATCCGTATCTCCCTTATGCAGAAAGATGTCTGGTTGATTGGAGGGGCCGCATATGTTAACATCGTCTTCATTGTGAAATGGTCCCGAACAAGTCAATCTAGAGTAGAAGGTAGACTTGAGATTTGGCGTAAAAACCAGCAAGGACCTGAGACCTTTGTAATGTTCTCCCCCAGGAACGTCGTTTTTTTTTTAGATGCTCAATTAACAGCTCCTTTCCAGGACATTTTCCCTCGTCCCCCACTGGGGACTCCTCCGCAGGAAATCACTATTAGAAGGGATGAGCTGTGTGGCAATGCGATTCCCACTGGCAGAAAACCCAGTGATGTCTGGAGGCTTTCTCTTGAGCGACTTCGGTATAGAGCTGATCAAGCCATACGCAACCAAGGTTATGTCCCAGCATGAATGCAGATGACCACAATAATCGATTGCGCATCTAACCAGATCCTGAGACTTGATTCATTTGCAGCTCCATATCAGATCTTGGCTAGGCCTGGCATGCCACTCCCGCTGCAGTTGTTTATGTCTACACCATTTGCTAAACCTTGACAAGGTCGAAATCAAATATACTCTCGCATATAGTGTTAAATATCACCAACCTCTCGGATCTTATACTCAAACATCTGATTTGAGGGAATTTTCTGTTCATCCTCCAACTTCTCCGCGGTTTCCACCCCCGCCGCAGGAACTCGATACTCGAATCTCTTCCCCGGGCCTGGGAGCCTGCCATCGGGCAAAGCATAAGGGTATGGGAGGTATTCTGGCATCAGGCCCAGCTGCACGAGGACCGTCGCCTGGTCCCATGCTATGTGCTCGTGGTATAGACGATCCCCGCGGATATTCACTACTGATGTGAATGGTATGCGGAGAGGCTTTCCGGTTGGTGGGATGCCGGGGATACTGTAAGATGTTAGGGTTTGCTCGTAGAGTGTATGCAGGTGGATCTCACAGCCAGTCGATCTCCTTGTTATGCGTGACGGAGAATATGAACTCGTCTACGACCCGGTCGATACCCACCGTGCGACTGATAAGCTCCAGGGCTGTGTCATCGGGATTATTGAAGATGAAATGATTCAGGTAGAAATTGCTCAGTCGCGCACGGCCAATTCCACCGGTCATCTTTGCAGTGTCAGACTCTTCAACAGTGGCAGGAAGGGAGAACCTCTCACAGTCGGAACATGATTCACATAGGGCTCCTGGACCATCGTCGCCATGGTCTTCTCTACCGACCGGTCTCCAAATTCGTAATAGGTATGCTCCTCCCAGATCTTCTCGAGATTAAAGTAAGGCCCATCTAAGTGCTTCTTCAAGAAGCTCAATGACCGGGTATGGGCTACTCCTGCAGTGGAGTACTTGAAATCCGCATGACCGGGGACAATGAAGCCGGCGGACGAGACGCCAGGATAGGTGTACACAGTTCGGCTTTCCGTTTCCTGGATTCCATTGCTAGCGCCAGGTATATGTACCAAGGCCGGAATCTCAGCGAGCGTCTCCCAACGACCGAAATATACCAACGCTGCTATACGAGCAGCTACGATTGCATCCAGAATCTTCGCAAATTCCGGCGCATAATCAGCTTCGGAACCGTAGACTAAGCCCATTAGTATCTAAATGGCTCTTAAGACATACTGTGCATACCTAGCAGACCAAATTGCTCCTTTTTATCACACTCCCGGAGTGAATCAAGGCTCTCAATCGCTGTCTTGGCAGCGTCAAGTACACAATCCTTGTCGCCACTGGATTCCGCATCAAGACTAATCTGGACTATTGCATAGCTCTCCTCGGCCCATTTCTGCAACGGCTCTGGATCTAAACTTTTGTTCTTCTCCTGGCATTCTGCAAAATGACTCGGCCGAATAAGTATCAGTCCCGGGCCATGGCCGCAGCGGGAAAGCGGGGGTTGTAAAACAACGCGGGGGTGTAGATCAACTCGCGGAGCAGAGGGAAGGGAAGTAGAGCTGGAAGCCATCTTGTATTTGGCGGCTAGGTGCTCTCAACATACAGGTAATGATTCGTTGAATTTTGTACTGTCGAAATGGTGCGCAAGTTATAGGTGATCCGGGGAGTTATGGACCCCGATTTATTCAACAATACAAGAAGCCAGAATCTGATATAATCGCTGGAGACCTCTCTGTTAATATCAGAGGACCAACATGGCTTGACTCGTTCAATCGGATCTTTTCCGCATTATCTCGCCCGCATCTGGGCTATGTAACCCTATATCAAGATAGGCCTACACTGGCTATTGACTGATAGTATGTACATTCAAATTTTGAAAGGTATGACCCCTTATAACCAGATAGCCTTTTTTAAGATATTCACCTGTTTGGAGAAACTGCACCTCGAAGAAAGAATGGT